TTCCACGTATCAGCCGAGGTTCTGCAGGTGCATGTGTTAGGGCCTCTTTCATTTCTGTTTAAATACAGCAGAATTAGCCGATCACTGTTATTGAACAACATAAATGTACAGCTAGTGTGCTCTGTATACACACTTTATTTTATTTTATTCACCCACATGAAAGCCCTTATAACGGAAATGTTGCATTGTCACTGTTACTGAGTTTTGAATTGTATCTTAGTTTCCAGGAACTTTAGCAAATCTGAGGTCAGGTTACCTTATGACTCAGGCTGACAAATGAAAATTCCCACAGTATACTTATATTCAGTGAATAATTTAATCATTTTATTGAAATGGTTATGAACAAAAAAATAATTGAATCAAGTTAACTAAAAAAAGCTTGCCCTTCTCCACAGCTCTCAAATTGTATTTACATTTCCGCATATTATAACTTGGCGCCTTGCGATTGCATATGAAACCTTCAAGAACCAATGCCATTTGGCATCGTTATTGTCACATCATCACATGTCAAGTCTGAATATGCGAATATGCAAATGAGAATTAAGCTATGGCAGAATGTTCAATGAATAATGGATTTTCAACAAAATTAATTACATTTGTCTGTTCATCACACAAAGCTATAATATGGCTTCAGAAGACATGTAATATAGCATATTTTAAATAATTTGATAGCACTTATTTCTCTTTTTTTGAAGCTTCACTATGGACCACAACACCAGTCATAAGGGTAAATTTTTCGAAATGGAGATGTATGCATCACCTGAAAGCTGAATAAATAAGCTTTCCATTGATGTATGGTTTGTTAGGATAGGGCAATATTTGGCCGAGATACCACTATTTGAAAATCTGGAACTGAAATGAATCCAAATGAAGTTCTTAGGCAATGCATATTACTAATATATACAATTAAGTTTGGATATATTTACAGTAGGAAATTTACAAAATATCTTCATGGAGCATGAAGTATGACTTTTGGCATAAAAGAAAAATCTGTAATTTTGACCCATACAATGTATTTTTGGCTATTGCTAAAAATATACCCCAGCGACTTAAGACTGGTTTTGTGGTCCCGGGTCACATCTAGTATTTTGTATGGAAAAGATACAATTCTCCTTTAGTGTTTTACAGAAGAAAGCATGTGATGACCATTTGGAAACATGTAAGGTTACTAATGAGAAAACTGTTCCTTTTAATTTAAGTATTATATCTTGTTATATAACAGGCAACATCTATCCCCATTTAACAAAATTTTTAAACTTTTCTGGAGTATGTCTCTACAGGTCTGTATTTTATCTTATCTTATGTCCTGTTCTGACTTAATTTGTCCTATTTTAATCCATTCCAGGAATGAGGATTTGGGCTATTTTGGAAATAATCCTTATATAAAGATTGATTTTTATCATTTCAGAATCCCTTCATTTCAGTGTCTCCATATGTGTGGTGCCATGCATGTACTTTCTTGTATGTACAGATGTGGTTACATAAGGTGGAGGGACACAAATATGTGGTGGTGATTCTAATGACTTAGGCAAGATGTGAAATGATACTCTCTCCACCCTGACCTTTGAGGTGCAGGTCAGACGGCTGCCAACAGGTGGTAATGTGAGGAACTTGAACCCCAATAGCTCATAAAGAAACTCTAGCAGTGCATATCTCGGGCATATCTGAGTACAGATGATTGCTCAACCCTGCAATATGCTAAAGAGAAGATATGAAGGTAGAAAGCAGATAAAAGACTGTGAAAGAATGAGAAATGGAGCACTGAGTGCATAATTTATCTTCATCAAAGGGATGGTTCACCCAAAAATAAATATTCTATAATTTTTAATCAGCCTCGTTTCATTCCCAACATGTGTGACATACTTTCTTCTGTAAATTTTCTGGTAACACTTGGAAACACTATTCACTATTAACTAGTTGCTTATTAGCATGCATATTACTAGCACATTGGCTGTTTTTAGTACTTATAAAGCCCATATTAATGCCTTTTTCTACATGACAATATTCAAGATCCCTTATACCCAATACCTAAACATAATTACTACAACATCTACCTTATTTACTATCACTAAGCAGCAAATTGGGAGCTTATTGAGGCAAAACTCTTAGTTAATAGTGTTCCCTAATCTAAAGTGTTGCAGATTTTCTTTAAAAATTCAGTTAAATTTAATAACAGTGATCCTTATCAACTTATCAACTATTTCAAGTCTTCTGAAGCCATGTGAGAGCTTTGTGTGATTTTCAGTGAATAATGTATTTCAGACAAAAACACAGATGAATAGGGTAATGAATGAATGAATGAATAATTAACTAGATATCACTACATTTCCCTAGTTGATTGCATACATTTGCATAAATTTAATAAACATTGGATTAAGCCAGGTTCCGAATTATTCTGTCTTTTTGTTGACATACTAGAGTCAAAAGTTTTAACAAAAGGCATTTTTGGTATGTCTGTTTATGTGTGTGTGTGTGTGTGTGTGTGTGTGTACTGTATATACAATGGGTACAGAAAATAATAAAATTTTGTTGCTTTGCAGGCCGAAATGAAGACGGACACAATTTTTCTTTTATCCAGCTCTATTTACTCAGTGCAAATGATAACATCCAAGTGAAAGATATAACACCAACATGCCAGAAAAAAAAGGATTATTTTCTATATCCACTATATATATATTTACAGCATAAATCAGAAAACACCGTCAACAGCAATCAATAAATATAATTTAAAAAATCGCCATGTTTTTAGGAATAAAATGTTGAATAAAAACAGGCAAAGGATATGTAAGTAAAAACTTTCAGAATAAACAGTAGTACTAATTTTAAGAAACCAACCTTTAAAAATAGAGTATTTATTCTAGTGTCAATGTGCGATGCCACACCGGCAGGTAAATCAATGATAATGTAAATGAGATTGAATTATGATGCCATAGAGCTTGTGAGGCAAAGAGTCCCCTGACTCCCACTGATTTTAGTCGCACAGCTGACAAAACAGCCCTGACAGTGAATTACTGAAATAAATGAACTTTTCCACGACATTCTAATTTATTGAGATGCACCTGTACATGTCCGATATGGTGGATAAGCATTGAGGATGGCATGGCATATTAGGTTTTACTAATGGCTTTATGATCCACTTGATCATCATTAAAGGTGCTGTGAGCGGTCCGCTTTCCTAAATTCTCCAAATTCCGGGCCTTCAAAAAATATGTGAGCAAAGTAGTTATTTTATTGTTTAGTTATTTTAGTATTATTTTTATTTTAGTATTTAGTTGTTTTAGTATTATTTATATTTATTATTATATAATATTTATTATTATATTTTTAATATTATATTAGTAATTTTTATATATAGTAGTTTCTATTTGTAATGTGTTATTTTTTAATTTGTATTAGTAATTTGTTAGTAATTCTCTTATGTGCTTTTGCCTTTTTTGTTATTTTTAAATATTACTATTTAAGTTTAGTTTTTATTCATTTCCAAGTTGTAATTTTAGTGCTTCAACTTAAATTTCAGATAGTTGACAAGTTAGCATTTCTAATTTTCGTTTAGTTTAATTTTTCATATATTTACATTTAAAAATGTTTAGTTTCTACTGTATTTCATTTAATAAAAATGTTTTTAATTGTTTTAGTTTTAAAGATAATAACTGCAGCAAATCTGATGTACATTGCACATACTGTATGTAACCTGATGTCGCAGATCATGTAAAATTATTTGTGATTGGTCAGAAATGTGTAGGCTGCTCTTCTGGCTCCTTTTCTGCTGTTTACATATCCTAGGGCTGTCATACTGAGACTTGCTATTGATATCTGACCCTAAATATATTTTATTGTGATATTCCCCACATAAATCACTTACAGCACCTATAAACTTAGCGATAACTCAGCATAGCTGCTAATCATTAGCTAATCAGATTTTTTAAAAAGGTAAATGTCTTAGACTCTACTAGAAGCACAATCAAGGTCTGACGCAGTTGTTTTACAGGAGGGATGGTTTTATTCAAGTTGTAGCCTCTATCAATGCAAGTGGCTATTCACCTATCTATAAGCTGGTGCTTTATATTTTACATGTCACAGTCAAAAAATAAAAACAGCACATTAAGGAATTACTTAGAGGTTTCATCATGCAATTATTGCTACTGTTTTTAAACTGGAATCTTGAGCATATCAATTGCAATTAATGACATCTTTCAGAAACACACATGGGAAAATGCTATTACAATCTGAGGACTACAATCGTGGCTTCCCTGTGTGCCAACATGGACGTTTTGCCACGTGTGTTCATTGCATAGGGGATTTTCTAGATCTTGCAGCCTGATAGCAGTGTGCATTGGGTTTCATTAAGCTTCAGCACTGCTGAGACAGCCAGAGATTACAGCCTGGCAGTGAAGGACAGCAGCACAGATGGCATCTGTTCGGAAATTTGCCAATCTGCCGTACCTTTGCGTTTTAATCTGAGATGCTGGTCTAATCTCTAGAGCAGAGGTGCCCAAACTTTAATACAAAGGACCAGAAATCAAACTTCATTGATGGATGTTGGCCAAAAGTAAAGGTTGTATTATACAACTATACACAGAAAAAAAATTTGGTGTAGAAACTATTTTCGTACAGATATTGCTAGTGAATTTCACAAATAATTACAAAAAATGTCAACAATTTAAAATCTTTAAGTAGAAAGAATGAAATGGTATTTTCTGGTAAAATATATTCCAATAATGTTTATTTTGTTTTATTTAATGTTGTTTTATTTAATTATTATATTTGTAATAATTTATGTAATTAATATAATCAATAATATGTTTTATTTTATAACATGTTTACAGTGTATATTATATTATAATGCATTAAATAATTTAAATAATTAAACAAAAAAATATATATTTTTTTAATGTTTACATTTTTTAAAATCAAATTCACTTGATTGATTTTTACATTTGAGTGCAACAATAAAAACGGTTAAAACAAAATTAGTAATTAAGATATTCTTCAATGGCATGTTTTTTCTTTCCCCCCCCCCTTTCTTGTGATATGAAATCCTGTGGCTGAAACAGAAGAATATGGCGCTAGCAATGCCAAGGTCATGGGCTCCATTCCCAAGGAATGCATAAACTAATTGAAAAAAATGTATAACATGAATGCAATGTAAGTCATTTTGGATAAAAACATCTGCTAAATGCATAAATGTAAGTATAATATGGCGGGCCAAATCAAAGGTCATCACGGGCCAACTGGGTCCAGATTTGGGCATCTCTGCTCTAGAGCAATACAAATATACTTAAATACCCCATTTGCATATTAAATACCCCATGTATATATAACTTATTTTGTCTGTTTGTGTATCACAAGTTCATCAGAGCATCATACAAAATTGGCACCATATTATAAATCCAAATAATTCAAGCATTTGCACTAATGAAATAAAGAAGGAGAAAGAGAGAGGGACAGTACAAACACGTTTCCCTGCATAGCCTCTTTACTCTCCAAACAGCACATGTGGTCTGCTGGACAGCTGGCAGTTTGCCTAGCATCACTGCATGGAGGGTGAAGGTACTTTGAGGCCCTTGGCCCGGGGCCCCGCGCTTGCATATCCTGCTAAAGAAGGGAGGGAAGGGGAGGAACAGGGGTCCGGAGGTGGGGTGGGGGGTCCTTCATTTAAAAGATGCACGGACCTCACGACCTTTCAGAGGCTGAGGAGGGCGATAGTTATTCACCATACAGCAGGCCTCCACATTCTCTGCAGTAAAAAGCAGAGATCGGAATTTTTTCATCTGTGGAGTAAGAGATAGAAAGAGAAATACTCTCAGTATCTGTTTTCATTTTTTAGCTTTTTTCATTTTTTCAGTTTTCAGCATCTGTTACTATTTATTTAATAGAACTGACACTGAACTGACTAATATTGAACTGACTTGGGCTGCATTGAACTGAACTGATTCAACATGGACTGAACTGAATCAACAATGAACTGACTCGAGCTGAATTGAACTGAACTGAATCAACAATGAACTGACTCGAGCTGAATTGAACTGAACTGAATCAACAATGAACTGACTCGAGCTGAATTGAACTGAAATGAATCAACAATGAACTGACTCGAGCTGAATTGAACTGAACTGAATCAACAATGAACTGACTCGAGCTGAATTGAACTGAACTGAATCAACAATGAACTGACTCGAGCTGAATTGAACTGAACTGAATCAACAATGAACTGACTCGAGCTGAATTGAACTGAAATGAATCAACAATGAACTGACTCGAGCTGAATTGCACTGAACTGAATCAACAATGAACTGACTCGAGCTGAATTAAACTGAACTGAATCAACAATGAACTGACTCGGGCTGAATTGAACTGAACTGAATCAACAATGAACTGACTCGGGCGGAATTGAACTGAACTGAATCAACATTGAACTGACTCGGGCAGAATTGAACTGAACTGGATCAACACTGAATTGACTAAAGCTGAATTTCACTGAATTGAATGAACATTGAACTGACTGAATAATAACATTCTGTAGAGGTGCTTATCACTGAACTTAAACTTGTTTCACACTTGAAGAACTCCACAGTAAATTAACTGAAATGAATCAACACTGAACTGACTTGAGCTGAATAATAACACTATTTCTTTTTAGTGCTGCTTTACAGCAGAATTGGAATGATTAACATTTCCTCTTTATTACTGTAAAGCTGCTTTGAATCGATCTGTATGGTATAAAGCAATATATAATTAATGGTGATTTGACTAGACTATTTGGGGAAATGCTAGTAGTTAAACAAACTCATTTTCATTAATTCTCACATTTTGTACAGAATATCATAAGTTATTTGTGTATTCCTGAAGTCAATCATTCAACAGGCAGCTAGGAAATGAGGCATGCCACCTGAGGATATGTACACATTACCAGCCTTGAACCAAAGTTGCTATGTAAACATTCAACAGGGTCGTGTTAATTTCACATAAGGGCTAGATGCCGCAGAGGCTGAATGGAGAAGAAAATACAACTGACTGAGAAGAAGGTTTTGTACATTTGTTTACTATTTCCTCAGATGAGGGCAAATGTCTAAATAAGACTAAAATACCAAATGAACAATAATTTAAATCATAATGGGATGTTTTTTTGCTTGACTGCATGCATTTGGGTAGGTGACATGATGTTTTAAGTATGATTGCAGTATGTATAATACAGTTTATGTATATTAATTCATTCATATTAATTGCAATTAATTAATGCAGTTTCTAAACTGCAGGACTACCGTTCAAAAGTCTGGCGACTGTACGGTTTTTAATGTTTTTTAAAAGTTGTCTTAATGCTCAACAAAAATGTAATGTCATTTTAAATATATATTTCAACATACTTAATCATAAATCTTTCTAATATGCTGATTTGCTGCTCAAGAAACATTTATTATTATTATCAGTGTTGAAAAAAACTCTACTGCTTAAGATTTTTTAAGTAACCATGGTATTTTTGGGGGGGATTCTTTGATTAAATAGAAATGTCAAAAGAACAGCATTTATTTAAAATAAAAATCTTTTGGAAAAATTCAGTTGTTCTTTGCTAAATAGCAGTATAGATTTATTGAAAAAAGAGAGAGAAAATCATGCTGACCCCAAACTTTTGAAAAAAGTAAAATAAAATGTCATGTTCACATTTTGTTTACACTCTTAAAAATAAAGGTGCTTCAAAAGGTTCTTCAAGTGATGCCATAGAAGAACCATTTTTGGTTCCACAAAGAACCATTCAGTCAAAGGTTCTTTAAAGAACCATCTCTTTCTTACCTTTTTATAATCTGAAGAACCTTCTTTCACCACAAAGAACCTTTTGTGAAACAGAAAGGTTCTTCAGATGTAAAAGTTCTTTATGGAACCATTTAGACAAAAAGGTTCTTCTATGGCATCGTGAAGCACTTTTATTTTTAAGAGTGTACTACCCATTTGCAAATCCTAAGGAGGTTATTTAAATGTGTGTTTCATAGACGTAATTTGTGATTTTAATCCTGATCAAATTAACAAACCTGTGTTTTTTATGAGTCAACAAGGTGTTCTTTGCTCTGCTTTAGAATTATTAAGATGCACATCCAAATCTGTAGTATGCGAGATGCCACACTTCACTTTTAAGCATTTGACTTGCAAATTCCACATCTATGCTTGTATTACTGGTATAAATTGTGTCATGAGCAGGACCTGCTCCGTGCTGATGCTGATTGACTGCTTGCAGACGATCCATGTGACGCTCTCGAGCAGAGGAGGGGTGGTCAGAGACCCCAGGTATGTCCAGTAATCCAGAGACTCTGGGAGTAGGACAGTTGGGTCAAAGTTTGTGAATGAGGTCTGCTTTCCCTGCAAGATAACATACACAAATGGACCATGAATGAAGCAGAATTGATTTCAATATTTGGCATGAAGTAAGAATTATAACAAAATGTAATTGAATTGGTAGACATGCCTTGCACTTGATAGCATCCATAGCATCCAGAACCTTCTGAAGATTAGGATTTTCTGCTCCATTCTGGTGGGGAAAAAAACAACAACAATTTTCAATTCTGAATTTTGATTCAAAACTAAAAATTTGTGGGATAAATGTAAGATTTAACCTAATAAATTTTTTTCTTCAACCTAACTTGAAAATATGCAGGATGAATGTGACTAAAGTACAGTATTTAATTTCATTTAATTTAATTTCATTATTTTATTTTATTTATTTATTGATTGATTGATTTATTGATTGATTGATTGATTTATATTTTATTTTTTGCCAAAATATCATGGAAAAAGTGATGAAACTATTTAGTAAATTAATCTCTGTATTTGCTGAGTGGTTAGTAAATAGGGCCTAAAAACCAAAGACTTAATACTAATTTTAAAAGACTGTGACTAAGACACAATATTTTATTGTATTAATTTTTTTTATTTTAGTTTGTTTTTGAGCAAAAATGTTAGTAAATAGGTCCTAAAAACATAAGACTTCATTCTAATTTAAATTTTTAGTGAATTCGTCCCAGTGTTTGCATACAAATAGGCCCTAAATATGTACAACTGCACACAGACCTCTAGAAAAACTCCGACCACAGCAAGACCATCAGGCTTACTGGCTGCTTCCCCAAAGCTGGGATATTCTGTGTTCCAGTGGACCAGATGGAGCTAAAGATGAAATTATCAGGAACATTAATGCTTAATTATAAAAGAAAACATCTCACGTCTTAATATTCCCAGTATGCTCAGAGAGCATAATACCTCGGCTGGGTAGCATTTCCCATCGACTGTGTGCTCGGAGCCCTTGTCGTCACTGGCTCCCCAGTGGAAGTGGAACTGCTTGAGTCTGTATTTGCCTGAGATCGGGCCTTCCGTCAGAGCTAATGCGGGCAAACACAGATAAAATTAATATATGTGATGTCAAAGTCTGTTACATGCTGTGTATACAGTAGGTTACAATTGTTAAACATGCTAAACATGGTTAAACTTGCTACACAGGTTACATCTACTGACTCTGTCAAAGTTCACATGAATCACACTTGTAACAAACCATTCGCTGCTTAGCAGCTTAAGTGCTTTTTTTTGTGTGTGTGAATTCCCACAATTCTAAGCAAAAGTAGCTGTGTCACAGAGGATGGGATAGCTGAAGGGTCAAGGTGTTGTTCCCTGATATTTTCACACATAGGCTTTACACCTGCTTAGACATGCAATAAAATAAACTATAACCTATAAATCAGTCGTGTATTATTTTAGTATTTTAATTAGCGTGAATATTATTTGTAGCCTAAATGCATATGCATATATAAAGTTACGAATGTTCTGAATTTGTAAAGCTCTTTATCAATTTACTTGAATCTGAACTTGCTGTATAAAGGGATTTGATTGCCATCTGGTGGTCGAGAGTCGAAGCTACTATCAACCACGAAATTTCTAATATATGAACAAATGAGTAAATGCCTGTTTTATAAAGAAGGGCCAAATGTAGCCTGCATATTTGTCTCGTAAGTATATGTGTAGACCAAATATGAATTAATGTATTTTTTATGTAGGCTATACATAGCCTATATACTGTATGCGTGTGTGTACATTTTTGCTAAATATTTAATCAAGTTAATTTAATAGCTGATTGCATCGATTATTCTTGTAAATAATACATCCATATTAATGTATTCTAGATATTTTTGAATTGTATATATCTGAACCTTGATTGGAATCTTAAACAAATGTAAGTGTGAATTCACTCATGCAGAACTATTAGGGTTGTGTGTTACACCTAATTTTGTTAAATGAATGTTTATTGCATTATTTCAGTTTCATGTGTGTTACCATGATGGTGTTTAGTGTTTGTGTGAATGACACTGTGCACCTTCTATATATGTTATTATTTAAAAGCTGCTTGTGATGGGCTTTGGTTCATCACTTACTCATCACTACCTGCATTTGGTGGTTATCAGTGTATTACAAAGGTACAACACAGATTTCAATACTTCAATAGGTTGGTATATTAACGTTACATAAGTTAATGAAATTGCAGTATTTAGCTGTAAATTTATCTTAAAACCTAAAACGTTGCTACCGTATTTTTTATGGTAAAATTCTGGCAACCACAGCTGCCAGATTTTTACCGTAAATGTTACGGAATTTTTTTACAGTATATATATATATATATAATATTGTATTTTTAATCAAATAAATTCAGTCTTGGTTAGCATAAAATACTTGTTTCAAAAATATTTTAAAATAATCTTGCCAACCCCAAATGTTTGATAGTGTATATTTTATTTGAAGCTTTTTGTGTTTGAGAGAGGCTCTTTTAATGTGAATATTCCACATTTATTTCCAATGTGCTGTGATAACAGCTCAAGACCACTAGAGGCCAGACATTTATAATAATAGCAAGACTGCAGATCACCAGACAAATACTTATTTTTCTCCTATTCACTTAAATATATCTAAATGTAAATAATTTTTTCTCAATAAACAGGCATTTGTATGTGAATATGTTTTTAACTAGTGTTCATCTGTGGCTGGGACAATGAAGAAGTGTTCAAGAAAAACAAACATGCTTATAATACACACACATTTTTGGAGTGTGGCTTTACATTTACATTGTATGTTTAAACCTTTCTCTAGTATGATAGTATGAGAGTGTTCACTGGCGCGCAAATGCCGTCCTGACAGTATCAGGGTTTAAGCAGAACATTTGTGGGTGTTAAGATTCATTCAATCTGCCACTGAGCTTTTAACTGAAAACTTGAATGCATAAATATATCCAACCTTTAAGAAGGATGAAAATAATGAGTTGCTCTCTCATTGTGTAACATTATTATCCACAGTAGCAAAATACCTCACTATTAAGCTATAAAGTGAGCTTAATATCCATAGCTAGAGCAGAATGCAAAGCACATTGTTTTCTCTTTTAAAGTAAAATACTATTTTTTGACATATTCATGAATAATAAAAGTTTGCGTGCACTGATTTGTGCAAATTTAGCTGTATATACTGTATGTCTCATACGTCACTCAAAATTGAGTCACCATTTTTTTTATGTGCTAGGATCCATATTTTGTGCTTGACTTTTTCAGCAGCTCTTTAGTTGTCTCTTGGAACAGCTGGAGGTTTTTCATAAGGCAGTGAAAAGCATAAATATATAATTTGACTGGCAAATCAGCAGCATCTCTTCAATACATGTTGTTCATCTTTTGCAAAGTCGGTTCTGCAGAGAAACAGATGATTGCTTTCTAAGCGCAATAACAAACAGTTGTCGAGCACTAGGTGGCCAAATCTTCCTCAAACAGGAAATGGGGATTTGCTCCGAGGGTCAGGAGAGGAGTTAGGTGTGTGTGAGGTGAGGTGAAAATCCACACACAAACGGTTTCTCCACAGCTGTCAAGCATTCTTCTTCTGATCTCCCTGATGCTTTGCAGTGAGATTCTGAGCTCTGCACAATCTAGCACAGCATAAAACTCGAGTCAAACACGCACACACTCTTCACAGAACTAATGTGTTAGACTGTTCTTTGGCTCAGTCTCGTGCTCATTTGTCACATACCCACAGATGGTATCATTTCCAGACGCCTGTTTATGTGGGAAAGGGTTTTATGTGAGAAAGTAAATGGATCTTTACAAGCAGACTTTTCTAACCAAAGGGAGCTGTCAGCAATTATTGGCATTCTCAGCATTATCTAGGTCTCTCTGGTAATTTCAGCATTACTGATACTGTGTGATGGAAAGCACTTAGAATTCCACGCACAGCTGTTGTTGCCGCCTGCAAAACCTCCTAGAGTTCTTCAAAACAGGTCAGATCAGCCACAAACAGTGAGGTCGAGCTGGTATTGATGCAGTCCCCTAGAAACCAGAGCTGGATAAAGAGTCAATCAATGTTAATTCCTCAGTAGTGCTTTGAAGTGCCCTGCATTGGCAATGAGATACACGTTCAGTTCTGGTGTAGTAGACTGCAGTATCTGATATAAATACTTGTATTTATCTCAGATCAGTTGTGATCCAGCTGCTTATTGGTTAAGATACTTGTAAGATAGCAACTCAAGGGGGTGATTTTTCAATATCTCTTTGGTAAACATGTAGTAACTTTTGAAAAAAATTTTGGGGGAATAATTGTTCATTGTGGTGGAAATTACTATGAGACAGTCGGTGCATCCGAAATAGAGTATAAGTAGGTACTGCATTTGAATTTGAATTTACTTCACAATGTTAAAAAAGTATGTTCTGTATAGTATGAATATGGTATGAATGAAATTGAATCGGGGAATCTCGATTCAATGTCAATAGATATGTATATATAAGGGGACACAAATCTTCTGTTGTTGAATACAGTTGAATGCCTTTTTTAGCACAATTTTAAACTTTTCTTCAGTATTTGCTTGTTTTCATTAATATTCACTTATGTGTGAATGGCAACATTCTCGTTCACCACTCCTGGCTGGTGGAACGATCTTCCCACCCCTATCCGGAATGCTGAATCCCTGACAATTTTCAAGCGACAGCTGAAAACTCATCTCTTTCGAAGCTACTTGACTTCATCATAAAAAAAAAAAAATAAAAAAAATAAAGTATCTCTCTTTATTTATTCCTTCTCTTTCTAGCTTGTACTTATTTGAACAATGTCCGCTGGGTCAAAACAAGCCAATAGCTGGGTCAAAATAAACAATAGCTGGGTTTGTCCCTTTTTAAACTAGTGCTGGGTTCTATTTAACCCAGCATTTTTTAGAGTGTACTTATATGAATATCGCGGTCGAGATCAAACAAGCAATGTCACAACTCTGATTATAATTCTTGACAGTCGGGAACCCTGTTTAAGCACTGAATTCACCAGGAACTCTGGCACTTTTAGCTGCTTTCCACCTTTTGACACTCAAGGACTGAAGTCTCGCACATATCGACATAAATGTGCTCGATTTTGCAGAACCCCTTGAACATGAACAGACCCTCTGTATGTACAGCGACCAACCAACGTTTGTTTTGTTGTACGTGTGCGCTTAATGGCATGTAAATCTGGGATCTAAAAATTGTACTATAATAATAACACTCAGTTTCGGTTTCTGTTGTTCTCCATTGTGGCACATTGTACTGTAAAAAGACGCACATGGGTTTTCCCTTACTTTACCATACAGAACCTTGATAGCACACGTACATCATGGAGACGTCTATTTGACGTCTGCATTTACATCTGGAAGGCGTATTAGAGTGTTTGCTCATCTGTAATAGATCTATAAGACGTTTCCTATCAGAGGTCAAATAGACATTTAGAAAATGTCTTTAAGATGTTTATGATTTGGAATGTATGTAAAACTGACATCTTAAAGACGTCTTTCAGATACACAGCAGCTGCTTTCCAGATGAAGTGATATTTTACAGACATCTTGCAGACGTACCTGTGCTATCTGGGAAATTTCTCTCTTTATTTATTCCTTCTCTTTCTAGCTTGTACTTATTTGAACAATGTCTAAGAACTTGGTATTACAACCACTTCTTGTGTCTGTTTGCCTCTTTAAGAAGAATCGCTTTATGTATCCCCCAATTGTAAGTCGCTTTGGATAAAAGCGTCTGCTAAATGACTAAATGTAAATGTAAATGTGTACACTCTAAAAAAAATGCTGGGTTAAAAAGGGACAAACCCAGCTATTGGGTTGTTTTGACCCAGCGGTTGGGTTGTTCTGAATCCAACCGCTGGGCCAAAACAAGCCAATAGCTGGGTCAAAAAAAAAAACACAATAGCTGGGTTTGTCCCTTTTTAACCTAGCGCTGGGTTATATTTAACCCAGCATTTTTTAGAGTGTACTTATACGAATATCGCGGTCGAGATCAAACAAGCAATGTCACAACTCTGATTATAATTCTTGACAGTCGGGAACCCTGTTTAAGCACTGAATTCACCAGGAACTCTGGCACTTTTAGCTGCTTTCCACCTTTTGACACTCAAGGACTGAAGTCTCGCACATATCGACATAAATGTGCTCGATTTTGCAGAACCCCTTGAACATGAACAGACCCTCTGTATGTACAGCGACCAACCAACGTTTGTTTTGTTGTACGTGTGCGCTTAATGGCATGTAAATATACGATCTAAAAATTGTACTATAATAATAACATGGATTTACTCAGTTTCGGTTTCTGTTGTTCTCCATTGTGGCACATTGTACTGTAAAAAGACGCACATGGGTTTTCCCTTACTTTACCATACAGAACCTTGATAGCACACGTACATCATGGAGACGTCTATTTGACGTCTGCATTTACATCTGGAAGGCGTATTAGAGTGTTTGCTCATCTGTAATAGATCTATAAGACGTTTCCTATCAGAGGTCAAATAGACATTTAGAAAATGTCTTTAAGATGTTTATGATTTGGAATGTATGTAAAACTGACATCTTAAAGACGTCTTTCAGATACACAGCAGCTGCTTTCCAGATGAAGTGATATTTTACAGACATCTTGCAGACGTACCTGTGCTATCTGGGAAATTTCCAAAACTACACAGCGCGAGACACTTAATCGGTCAATAGAGATTTTTTGAGAGGCCCGAGGTTGTGTGTGCACTTCAAGCTCTTATAGGCCTGAGCCGAGCTCATTTCACACACCAATGACTCACTGCTCACCACAGACATACATAACTATAGACAGTCTGGTGATTAACCCTACGTCCTCTCCTCTTCACATCTCGTTATACCCTGAATGCCACCAAGATGAAAAAGGTGTTGCTTTTGTTCACATTAAGACTCAAATTGATTTAGCTGCTCCAGAGCTTGTAAAGAAAAGCACTATTAATCTAAACCAGGGGTCTCCAAACTCGGTCCAGGAGGGCCGGTGTCCTTCAGAGTTTAGCTCCAACTTGCCACAACACACCTGCCTGAAAGTTTCAAGTATACTTTGTAAGACTTTGATTAGCTGGTTCTGGTTCAGAGCTAAACT